GGTTTAGGCTTGGGAGGACACAGGAGTCCAGGAATTTATCCATTTCTTCCAGGTTTACTAGTTTATGTGCATAGAGTTGTTTGTAATATTCTCTGATGATGGTTTGAATTTCTGTGGAATCTGTGGTGATTTCCCCTTTATCGTCTTTATCGTTTTTTTCTTGCATCTATTTGGTTATTCTCTCTTTTCTTTTTTATCAGTCTGGCTAGTGGTCTATTTTGTTGATCTTTTCAAAAAACCAGCTCTTGGATTTATTGATTTTTTGAAGGGTTTTTCGAGTCTCTATCTCCTTCAGTTCTGCTCTGATCTTAGTTATTTCTTGTCTTCTGCTAGGTTTTGAGTTTTTTTGATCTTGCTCCTCTAGCTCTTTCAATTTTGATGATAGGGTGTCAATTTTGGATCTCTCCACTCTTCTCATGTGGGCACTTATTGCTATATATTTTCCTCTAGAGACTGCTTTAAATGTGTCCCAGAGATTCTGGTATGTCGTGTCTTTGTTCTCGTTGGTTTCGAAGAACTTCTTTATTTCTGCCTTCATTTCATTGTTTATCCAGTCAACATTCAAGAGCCAATTGTTCAGGTTCCATGAAGCTGTGCGGTTCTGAGTTAGTTTCTGAATTCTGAGTTCTAACTTGATTGCACTATGGTCTGAGAGACTGTTTGTTATGATTTCAGTTGTTTTGCATTTTCTGAGGAGTGATTTACTTCCAATTATGTGGTCAATTTTAGAGTAGGTGTGATATGGTGCTGAGAAGAATGTATATTCTGTGGATTTGGGGTGGAGAGTTCTGTAAATGTCTATCAGGTTTGCTTGCTCCAGGTCTGAGTTCAAGCCCTGGATATCCTTGTTAATTTCTGTCTGGTTGATCTGTATAATATTGACAGTGGAGTGTTAAAGTCTCCCACTATTATTGTGTGGGAGTCTAAGTCTCTTTTAAGTCATTAAGAACTTGCCTTATGTATCTGGGTGCTCCTGTATTGGGTCCATATATATTTAGGATCGTTAGCTCTTCTTGTTATATGGATCCTTTTACCATTATGTAATGTCCTTCTTTGTCTTTTTTGATCTTTGTTGCTTTAAAGTCTATTTTATCAGAGACGAGAATTGCAACTCCTACTTTTTTTGCTCTCCATTTGCTTGGTAAATCTTCCTCCATTCCTTTATTTTGAGCCTTTGTATATCCTTGCATGTGAGATGGGTTTCCTGGATACAGCACACTGATGGGTTTTGGCTTTTTATCCAATTTGCCAGTCTGTGTCTTTTGATTGTGGAATTTAGACCATTTACATTTAGGGCTAATATTGTTATGTGTGAATTTGATCCTGCCATTTTGATGCTAGCTGGCTGTTTTGCCTGTTAGTTGATGTAGATTCTTCATTTTGTTGATGCTCTTTAGCATTTGGTATGTTTTTGGAATGGCTGGAAAGTACTATGTGTAGTACTGGTTTTTCGTTTCTATTTGTAGTGCCTCTTTCAGGAGCTCTTGTAAAGCAGGCCTGGTTGTGACAAAATCTTTGAGTACTTGCTTGTTCGCAAAAGATTTTATTTTTCCTTCACTTATGAAGCTCAGTTTGGCTGGATATGAAATTCTGGGTTGAAAGTTCTTTTCTTTAAGGATGTTGAATATTGGCCCCCATTTTCTTCTGGCTTGGAGGGTTTCTGCTGAGAGATCTGCTGTGAGTCTGATGGGCTTCCCTTTGTGGGTGACCCGACCTTTCTCTCTGGCTGCCCTTAGCATTTTCTCCTTCATTTCAACCCTGGTGAATCTGACGATTATGTGCCTTGGGGTTGCTCTTCTTGCGGAATATCTTTGTGGTGTTCTCTGAATTTCCTGGACTTGAATATTGGCCTGCCTTGCTAGATTGGGGAAGTTTTCCTGGATAATATCCTGAAGAGTATTTTCCAGCTTGGAAGACGTCACATTCAGGTACACCTATCAAACGTAGGTTAGGTCTCTTCACATAGTCCCACATTTCTTGGAGACTTTGTTTATTCCTTTCCACACTTTTGTCTCTAATCTTGACTTCTCGTTTTATTTCATTGAGTTGATCTTTGACCTCTGATATCCTTTCTTCTGCTTGGTCAATTTGGCTGTTGAGACTTGTGCATGCTTCGCGAAGTTCTCGTGTTGTGTTTTTCAGCTCCATCAATTCACTCATATTCCTTTCTAAGTTGTCCATTATCATTTCCTCAAATCTTTTTTCAAGGTTTTTAGTTTCTTTGCATTGAGTTAGAACATGTTCTTTTAGCTCACAGAAGTTTCTCGTTACCCACCTTCTGAAGTCTGATTCTGTCATTTCATCACACTCATTCTCTGTCCCGCTTTGTTCCCTTGCTGGTGAGGGTTTGTGGTCCCTTGTAGGAGGCGAGGTGTTCTGGTTTCGGGTGTTTTCCTCCTCTTTGTGCTGATTTCTTCCCATCTTTGTGGATTTATCCACCTGTCGTCTGAGTAGTTGCTGATTTCCGACTGGGTCTCTGAGTGGATGTCCAGATTGTTGATGATGAAGTATTTCTGTTTCTTAGTTTTCCTTTTAACAGTCTGGCCCCTCTGCTGTAGAACTGCTGAGGTCCACTCCAGGCCCTGCTTGCCTGGGGAACACCTGTAGCAGCTGCGGAACAGTGAGGGTTGCTACCAGTTTCTTCTTCTGCTATCTTTGTCCCAGAATGATGCCCCCCAGATGTCAGTCTGATCAGTCCTTTGTGAGGTGAGTCTTTGGATATACGGGGGTAGGGAGGTGCTTGAGGAGACAGTCTGTACTTTATAGGAGCTGAAGTGCTGAGCTGTGAGCTCCATTGTTCATTCAGGGCTGCTAGGCAGGTACATTTAAGTCTGCTGCAGCAGAACTTATAAAGCCCCTTTTTTTCCTCAGGTGCTCTGTCCCGGGGAGTTAGGGCTTTATTTATGAGTATCCGTTGCACTGTCCTGCCTAGCAAGGAGGCAGTCTAGTCACTGCCTGCTTTGAGTGGCTATGCTGAGCTGCTGTGGGCTCCGCCCTGTTGCCGTGGGCTCTGCCCTGCTGCAGTGTGTAATTCCCTGTAGTCCTGTTTATATGGGTGTGGTTAGAACTGCCATGGCGATGGTGGCCCGCCTCTGTAATGGCGGACTCTCTCTGTTATGGTGGGTTGCCTTGGCAACGGCAGGCTGTGTCAGCAATGGCAGAGTACCTCCATAGGGGTGGAGTGCCTCGGTAATGGCGGACGCCCCTCCCACACCGAGCTGCATTGTCCTGGGTTCAGCTGTGCTTGCCGTGAAACTCTCAACCTTGAGCATTTACAATTGCTGTTTTGCTTGTTTTTGTGGGGGTTGGACCCACTGAGCCTGATCACCTGGCTCCCTGCCTCAGAGCTTTTTTTTTTTTTTTTTTTTAAGTTGAAGGGTTGACTCTCTCCCCGGTGTTCCAGTAGCCTGCTGAAAGGGCGCCGGGATCTGTGTGATTTCCCGTGCGGTGACCCACTGCGCCGGCTGCAACAACGTTGCTGCCCCGTACTCTCCTGGCCTGGCTTATTGTTTAAGTCCCATTTAATCAGATGAATGTGCTAATCTGCCTTCCCAAACCTCAAATTGCTGGTTTATCAGGGCAACCAGACCAGTGTATTTTGTACGGAGTACCGCTGTGCTGCGGCACCGGCCGAAACAGCCGCGCTGGCCCAAACAGCTGCGCTGGTGGCCCGTGGGGCTCCTACACCTGGGAATCTCCTGGTCTGTGTCTGGAAATGCGGCGTCCACTCACCCTCTGCACTTTCACTGGGAGCTGCAATCCTGAGTTGCTCCTATAGCGTCATCTTCTCCTCTCTCCACATACCAGTTTTTCTATTCTGCAGTTGATACTTCTAGTATCTGAAAAATGTCTGGTTCTATCCCTGTTGTTGGTTCTTTGTGCTGGGTGTTACTTACCTGGTCTTGTTTTTGCCATGTGTTTTATTATGATTTCTGTTCTGCACGCTCATGTGTTAGTACTGTATTTGTGGGAATTCTTTGAAGACCAGGTTGAGGATCCTTCCCTTTAATGTCCAGGAAGCTGGGGGAGCTTCTATCCCAGGTCTGTTTTATATTAGAAGTATTGGCCTGGGGTTTTTCAGGCCTACCAAAAATGCGAATTCCTGCTAAGCTTGTAAGTTTACTCTGCAGGGCCTGTGAACTGAAGGCCTGTGTCTCTGAGGCTTTTCCCTTTGTCCCTGCATGAAGCCACCCTAACTGAAGCTCCAGTCTTCTGGAACCTTAGTATCTTCTGTACTTCTCTCTCAGATTTTGTGCTCTTACTTTGTTCCTGATCAGAGATGTTTTCCTTTCATTTCTTGCAAACTCATTCATGATTTCAAAGGCTTTGAGGAAACTCTTTGTCCAGCCTTTCTGTTGCTCTGCAGTAAAGTGTCTGGGATCTCTGTATTTTGCAGTAATTGCAGAAACCAAAGTCCTGAGGTTCCTGACTTTCATCAGACTCTGCATTGCCAGCCGTGGTTCAACCCGGAAACAGCTTGTAAAGTCCTTTCCTACTCAGTGAACTGCTCTGTTGGTTGTGAGGGATGATTGTGTTGAAGTATCTTCATTTCCCGTACTGTGATTGTGCAGTCCTGTGGCCTCACCTGGCTGCCGCGATGTCATGTGTAATGTTCATTGAATGAAACGGTATCCTTAAGTTTTAGATGGCTGAATTCAACTTTGAGTGTACAATACTCTTTTAAATTTAGGTTTACCTGTATGTTAATGCAGGATTGGTAATGAAAGAGATAAATCACTAAATATGGGTTGTGAGGTTTCCCATGGGATCCTCTCTGCATTTGAGACTCTTGATTATGTGAGCCTATGAAGGGCAGTATTACGTGATATTGTTGCTGAAGTTTCCCCTTTTTACAATGCTTATCATCCAGATTGTAGAATTAGACATCTAGAATGTGAGGGAAGCTCTAAATATGTTAAGGTCCTCTTAACTAGGAGATGTGTCTAGGGTGAGATGTAATGTGGATGGAGCATTCCAACACCTTTTTCTTTACGTTTCAGGCTAATGCTGATGTCCCTGTACAACGTGAGCATCAATTTGAAAGGCTTGAAGTATATCAGCGAGAGTCCAGGATTCATTCCTTTGCTGTGGTGGCTTTTGAGCGGTAAGAGGAGTGGTTATCTGTACAGCTGCTTATACAGTTTATGCAGTAGTCCTCCCTTGTCCGTAGAAGATATGTTTCAAGTTTCCCAGAAGATGCCTGAAACCAGAGATAGCACCACACCCTCTATGTATATTATGTTTTTTAAAACTCATACATCTGTATGATAGTTTAATTTACAATTAGACAGAGATTATAAACAACTAACAATACAACAGAACAATTACAATAATAAGCCAGCGCCGCTGTTCCTGTGCTTTAGGCCATCGTTAAGTAAAATAAGGGTCAGCTGAGCACCAGTGCTGTGGCTCTACCGCAGTTGACCTATAACCTGTACTGTGGTTATGCTGGGCAAAGGAATGCTTCATGTCCCTGATGGGCCGGAGTGGGATGGCAGCACGAGATTTCATCATGCTACTCAGAATCGTGCGCAATTTAAAACTTAAGAATTGTGTATTTCTGGAATTTTCCACTTGATACTTCCAGGCCGTGGTTGACAGCGGCTCACTGAATCTGCAGAAAGTATAACTGCGGATAAGAGGGGCCTACTGTACACCGGCTCTTCTGTAGCTGAAGGAAACTTTAAAGTATTAGAAAGTAGGATTGATTATCTCAAGATGTTATTTCTTTAAAAAAAAAGATTTCAAATTTTAGAAAATTCCTTTGTATGCTAAGTTGTCTCTAGTTCTGTTTCTGAAGTATTGCTTTTAGTTTGGTTATGATTTACTGGTGTCCCTACGACACAAGGAAAAATTGTCTTATGAAACAGCCGGTAAACAGCATCAACAGATCCCATTTTCTTTTAACCGCACAGTACTAAGTGTGGGTATGAGACTCTGTCAGGTAAAAGAGAAGACCCACTGTTCAAGAATTTGGGTTAAAAACAAATTGGAAAGACACCACAGCTCTGAAGAGAAGTACACACGCGTAGTGTGTGCATGCTTTAAAATTTCTTTAAAAAGCTGTCTTTACTGCTTCCTTTCCTCTTGACTCTTAACTACCAGTCTAACCTAAAGTTCTGTCCCAATTTCATCATAAGTTTTAACACTATATGTCAATGAGTATACATTTCACCCAAGTATAAAAATAAATTAACTTTTCTTATTTTGTCATAATTCAAATCAACTTCTATTTTTTAGTGTCAATTCCATTTGGTGGTGAATGCTTTTTTTAAAAAAAATAGCTTTATTGATATATAATTGACATGTATTAAGTTGCATATATTTAAAGTGAACAATTGACAGGTGTTGATATAGATATCCACCTGTAAAATTACTACCACACTCAAGGTAATGAGCAAACCCATGACCTCCAAAGGCACTTTGTGCCCCTTTGTGGTCCCTCCTTCCTGCTCCTCTCCTCCATTCTTTCCAGAGAGTGACTTGCCTCCTTTCTGCACTGTAGTTTCCATTTTCTGCAGTTTTATGTAAGTGGAATCATATAGTTTGTATTCTTTGTTGCTGAGTTTCTTTTGCTCATAATTATTTTGAGATCATCCATGTTGTTGTGTGTATTGACAGTTTGCCACTTTTTATTGCTAAATAATACTCCACGTTGTAGATACACCAGAATTGGTATATCCATTCAGCTAGGGATGGACATTTGGGTTGTACCCAGCTTTTGAGGTTTTGTTTTTTATACGTAAAGCTGCTGGGAGCATTTTTTTTCTTTTTTTGAGACAGAGTTTTGCTCTGTTGCCAGGTTGGAGTGTGGTGGCACGATCTCTGCCCACTGCAACCTCTGACTCCCTGGTTCAAGTGATTCTCCTGCCTCAGCCTCCCGAGTAGCTGGGATTACAGCCATGTGCCACCACATGTAGCTAATTTTGTATTTTTAGTAGAGATGGGGTTTTGCCATGTTGGCCAGGGTGGTCTCGATCTCCTGACCTTGTGATCCACCCACCTCGGTGTCCCAAAGTGCTGAGATTACAGGTGTGAGCCACCACGCCTGGCCGCATTGTTGTACAAGTGTATGAACATATGCTTTTTGTTTCTCTCTGGCAAATACCTACAAGTGGAATGCCTGGCACTATGGGAGGTGCATGTTAGTTTTAGGAAATTGCCACCCTGTTTTCCAAAGTGGTTGTACCATCTTACATTCCCAGCAGCAGTGTATTTGTGTATGGTCATTCTCTCTACTTTTAGACATTCCAGTAGGGATGCTGTGATACTTTACTGTGGATTTTTGGATTTTTGTTATGACTAATGATGCTGAGTATCTTTTCTTGTCTTATTTGCCATTCATATAACTTCTTTGATAATAACAGTTCATATGTTTTGCTTATTTTAAAAAATTGGATTGATTCTTACTCAATATCTAGAGTTCTTTTTGTATTCAGTTTGTGCATCCTTTGACAAATGTGTTGGAAAAATATTTTTCCCAGCTTGTGGCTTGTCTCTCATTCTCTTAAGAGCAAGTTCTGAAGAGCAGAAGACCTATCTTAAATGTGATAAAGTTTATCATTCTTTTTCTTCTAAGAATCATGCTTTTGTTGTAGAAATTTTTTCCTAAATCAGTCACAAAGGTTTCTAATGTGTTTTCTACTAGTAGTTTTATAGTTTTGCATTTTATATTTAGGTATTTGATTTGTGGCGAGGGGTTTTTATGTATTTATGTTTTTGCATAAGGCTTTCTAGTTGATCCGGTACCATTTGTTTTGGAGACTTTGTTCTCCAGGGAATCGCCTTTGCACCTTGTTGACAATCAGTTGACAATACATGTCAAGGTCATTTTGGATTTTGTTCTGTTTCATCCGTCTGTTTTTGGATTATTATGCCAATACCATGCTTTATTTTTATGTATGTATGTATGTACGTATTTTGAGACAGAGTCTTGCTCTGTTGCCAGGCTGGAGTGCAGTGGTGTGAACTCGACTCACTGCAACCTCCACCTTCTGGGTTCAAGCGATTCCCCTGCTTCAGCCTCTCGAGTAGCTGGGACTACAGGTGCGAGTCACCATGCCCAGCTAATTTTTTGTATTTTAGTAGAGATGGTTTCACCATATTGGTCAGGATGGTTTTGATCTCCTGACCTCATGATCTGCCCTCCTTGGTGTCCTAAAGTGCTGGGATTGCAGGTGTGAGCGAGCCACTGTGCCAGGCCACCATGCTTTATAATAAATCTTAAAGTCAGGTAGTGTAAGTCCTCTAACTTTGTTCTTCTTTTTAAAGGTTGTTTTGTCTATTTTTAAGCCCTTTGCCTTTCCATTTGAATTTAAAAGTCAGCTCATCACTTGCTACCAAAAAGAATCCTGTTGGAATTTTGACTGGGATTGTGTTGAAGCAACAGTTCATTTTGGGGGAGAATTGACACGTTAGCAATATTGAGACTTCCAGTGCGTGAACACAAGTATATGTCTCCATTTATTTAGATATCGTCGAGACAAGGGTGTCTCCTGTTCGTGTGCTAAGAGCAGAGGAGCTGACCTCCTTTGTCTTTGGCTGTCTTCAAGGACGTGTGTATAGCAGACATCCTTAGAGGACACATGCTGTCTCCGTCCAGAGCATAGGGTGGGTTTATTTGCACCCATGTAGTAAATATAATGCCCATCTAGGGCAAAGTTCAGCCAGAGCTATGGGCTCCTCTCCTGGGACACAGCCCACAGCCTGTGTGTGGCCCTGTGGAACTGGGTCTTAAGCTGGCATAAATGCTGCTAGTCTGCCTATGGCTGTTGCTGTAACAGGTTCTTGGTCTCAGACTCAAGAATTACTGTCTTCTGCCAGCATCTGTAAAACTCCAGTGTGCTAGCTTATTAGCTTGCAAGGGGGTAAAGCCCTAGACCTTCCGCAGTTTGAGGGCAGGTCCAGGCTACGCCTGTGCTCCACTGATAACACTTACCTACCAGGGTTGGACAGCTTTTTTCCTCTCAAGAGTCATAGAATCAGAGGTGCTTCCTAGTCCTGACCTGTAAGGTAGCTATCCGGGCTGGTTGTTACGGACCCTGAGCAAGTGGACAGTGTCAGTTTGTGGGAGGGGATGGTGGAGGTGCCAGGGAGAGAAAAATTAAGAATACCTAATACTTCTTGAGTACTGGTCATGGCTTTAAGTGCATTACTGTCAGTAGCCTGCAAGGCAAGGATTGTTTTTGTATTACAGATGAAGAAACTGAGGCACGTAGAGGTGAGTGAGGTGGCAGGGTTATATAGCTACGGGTGGTGGAGCCGGGATTTGAGACTCCGACCGCCTGGCTCCTGACTCTGTTTCCCAATCAATCTGTGGGACTGCTGCTCAGCAGGACATGGCTCAGGGGTGGAAGCCTTAGTGCTGGATGACTTTTTTTTTTTTTTGAGACTAGGTTTCGTTCTTGTTGCCCAGGCTGAAGTGCAGTGGCGTAATCTTGGCTCGCTGCAACTTCCACCTCCCAGGTTCAAGCCTCAGCCTCCCAGGTAGCTGGGATTATAGGTGTCCGCCACCATACGCGGCTAATTTTTGTATTTTAGTAGAGAGGGTTTCACCATGTTGGCCAGGCTGGTCTCAAACTCCTGAGCTCAGGTGATCCCCCCTACTCAGCCTCTCCCAGTGCTGGGATTACAGCTAGTGCTGGATGACTTCTCACCTTCAGTTGACTTCAGGTCTGGTTTTGCTTGGTTTCTGAATCAGCTCCCCTGAAACAATACGCCAGTCTCTACTTAGGCTAATTTGCAGCCAGTAATCCTCCTTTCTCATAAGAAGAAGAGTTTTGGCTAAATGTTCTCTATGGCCCTTTGAGCTCTGGTCCTCCGGAAGTTTCCTGGGGTGAGTGAAACTGTGGTGGGCTTCATCTTAATTTTTGTAGTTCCATCTATAGCAAGCAACCCAGGAGTGTTAGCTCTGCCGCTCATCAGAGATTGTGTTCTTTGATTCAGGTGACTTTTCCTGCTAAAGCTCTGGGTAGCAGAGAATATGAGGTGCTTGTTTAGTTGTGTTAATGCAATATCTGCTTCTGGGACATCATCCCAGGCTTTCTTATTCGTGAAGATAATTACTGGTTCCTTCAACACGGTGAGCACAGCCCAACCCCTCATAAATTTATTGCAAGGTCATCTTTCTTTGGAATCTTTGGAATCATTTGTTCTAAAGTCAAACAAAACAAGATCGATTTAAGCCGAGGATGTTTGACTCCTGAGTTATGTATGGGATTACTTTAAACCTTAAATTACAGAATTTGATATGTGTTTTAGGAAGGTGAATATGTAGTTTATAATAGAATAGGAAAATAGGAACAAGAATAGTTCTTGGTGCTTGGGTGGTGCTGGTGGTAGCGGGACTGTTCTCAGAATCTAGACTGTCGTAACTGCTTAGGACTGAGAGAGAATATGAAAACCGGCTGCTTCTACTCCTGTGCTTTTAGATAGATCTAGTTCATGAAAACGTACTGGACACATAAGATTCTCTTCTAATTTTTAAGAGATCGAGGAAAAACGTCATTGTCCCTTTCAGTAATCAGTTCCTACTTTTATCAGTTTCTGTTAAGGAATTGGATGTATTTTAATAAGAACGTGGGCTTGGGACTCAGTAGACCCAGATGTGAATTGCAGCTTTCCAGCTTGTGAATTTACCTAAGCTTTCAGAATGCTGCTTTGCTGATCTATAAAGGGAGAATTTCTTCCTCGAGGATCCTAATGTATGTTAAAATGCAATAGTGTTTAGGCTAACACCTCTGGCGGTAGGTGTTAAATAGGTGCTAGTTTTCCTTTGTATTTCTAATCTGAATATCTCATTCTTTAGGGATAAAAGACTTGAAAAAAAAAACTCATGCTGCAATGAAAGCTCCTTTTCTTTTCTTTTGCTTGCCCTGAAGGTGGCAGGTTACTTTCAAGTATGTGGACTTCTCTGATTCAGAGAGTACGGACCCAGTTGCCGTTAACCATCCCTGAGTAATCATCTCGTTTCCTTTAACCTTTGCTGGATTTCATTCTTCTTCCCTGTGTTCAGCTACATGGCTGGCTTTTCCCCAGGCTTTGTCCAGATTCTTCACATTCCTCTTAAGCCACAGAACTGGCATAGAACTCTAGCAAATAACTGGTGAGGACAGAGTGTATTGAGATGGCGACCACATGTTACGTAACTGTTAATGCAGACTGCTATTGTGATCACAGGAAGCTGCGTTTCCTACCATGTTTTCAATGCTAAAACGGCAGATAGGCAGTTATTCCCACCTTGTATCTGTTTGGCTTGTCTGAGGACCATGAGCATTGATCAGGTTCTACCAGGTTTGTGTCTTCAGCCCAGACCTCTGTCCTAAGCTCTAGACTCATAGATTACTTGACATCTCCGCACGGACATCTAATAAACATTCAGTGTGTTCAGAATAAACCCCTAATCTTCCCTCATGCCAAATTCTAATCTCCATTGATTACGACTATTTTTCTAGTGTCTCAGACTTTTAAAAAACGTTTTAGTCATTCTTGACCACTTTTAATCTCTTAAACCCACATTTAATCTGTTAGGAAATCCTGATGGCTCTGCTTTCAAAACATCTCCAGAATCTGATCATCAGCTACCACTCCCACCCAGATTTTGGTGATGGTGGTGGTGGTTTTTTTTTTTTTTTTTTGAGACAGTCTCATTCAGAGTCTCATTGCCCAGGCTGGAGTGCAGTGGCACGGTCTTGGGTCACCACAACCCTCTGCCTCCTGGGTTCAGGCCATTCTCCTGTCTAAGCCTCCCAGTAGCTGGGATTACAGGCACCTACCACCATGCCCAGCTGATTTTCCCACCCAATTTTGAGCCACCTTGACCTTAGGTTGAGAGCTTCCTATAGGTCTCCCTATGGTCCATCCTTCCAGGCCATGAATTGGGAGCCAAGGGTATGATGGAAAAATCCCTGACCACCTCTCCTTACTGAACAGTCAAAATGCTGGGTGAGACACAAAAAGCATTTTACTTATTTGATACACACACACACACACACACACACACACACACACCCCTAGAGCATGAAAGTCAAGTGAAAGTGAGAGGGCAGAGGTTAACAGAGAGCTTAGCTTCTTGTTTAAGGGTATTTTTCAAATGTGTCCTTTCGTTTTCATGGCCCCCAGGGTGTGGGAGATAAGAGACAAAGCCGGGTCCCACATCAGGTGAGTGCCCTGAAAGGAAACTCGCAGGGGCGTTTCCCAGCAGCGCAGGGGTAAACTCCCTTAATCCTGAGGCGATTTTAGGAAAATGGTTTTGACCTTTGGTATTGAGTGTAGTGGGGGAAATCACTTCTGAAAATTAGTAGGCTGGTTTTCATGCAAGTTTGAAGCTTTTATTCAAACCACCTAGGTGGTCCCCAAGAGAGTTAATTTTTGTGTCAACTTGACTGGATCGTGACGCCCAGACATTTTGCCAAACGTTAACTCTGGGTATGTCTATGAGGATGTTTCTGGATAAGAGACCGAGTAAAGCAGACTGCCTTCAGCGAGGTGGGTGGCTCTCATCCAGTGAGTTGGAGCCCAGTAGAATAAAAAGGACCTCCTCCTAGACTGCTTGAGCGGGACGTAGGCCTTTTCCTGTCTTTGGATTCAAACTGAAATACCAGCCCTTCTTGGGTCTCGAGCCTGCTGGCTTTCACACTGGAACTACAAACTGGCTGCCTGAGTCTCCAGTGCATGGACTGTAGATATTGGGATTCCCTCATCCCCCACAGCAGACCCTCATCCCCACAGCAGACCCTCATCCCCACAGCAGGTCCTCATCCGCCACAGCAGGCTTTCATTGGCCACAGCAGACCCTCATCCCCCACAGCAGACCCTCATCCCCACAGCAGACCCTCATCCCCACAGCAGACCCTCATCCCCCACAGCAGACCCTCATCACCACAGCAGACCCTCATCCCCACAGCAGACCCTCATCCCCCACAGCAGGCTCTCATCCCCCACAGCAGACCCTCATCCCCCACAGCAGACCCTCATCCCCCACAGCAGACCCTCATCCCCACAGCAGACCCTCATCCCCCACAGCAGACCCTCATCCCCCACAGCAGGCTCTCATCCCCCACAGCAGACCCTCATCCCCACAGCAGACCCTCATCCCCCACAGCAGGCTCTCATCCCCCACAGCAGGCCCTCATCCCCCACAGCAGACCCTCATCCCCCACAGCAGACCCTCATCCCCACAGCAGACCCTCATCCCCCACAGCAGACCCTCATCCCCCACAGCAGACCCTCATCCCCCACAGCAGACCCTCATCCCCCACAGCAGACCCTCATCCCCCATAGCAGACCCTCATCCCCACAGCAGACCCTCATCCCCCACAGCAGACCCTCATCCCCACAGCAGACCCTCATCCCCACAGCAGACCCTCATCCCCACAGCAGACCCTCATCCCCCACAGCAGGCCCTCATCCCCCACAGCAGGCCCTCATCCCCACAGCAGGCCCTCATCCCCCACAGCAGACCCTCATCCCCCACAGCAGGCCCTCATCCCCACAGCAGGCCCTCATCCCCACAGCAGACCCTCATCCCCACAGCAGACCCTCATCCCCACAGCAGACCCTCATCCCCCACAGCAGGCCCTCATCCCCCACAGCAGGCCCTCATCCCCACAGCAGGCCCTCATCCCCACAGCAGACCCTCATCCCCCACAGCAGGCCCTCATCCCCACAGCAGGCCCTCATCCCCACAGCAGACCCTCATCCCCCACAGCAGGCCCTCATCCCCCACAGCAGACCCTCATCCCCCACAGCAGGCCCTCATCCCCCACAGCAGGCCCTCATCCCCCACAGCAGGCCCTCCTCATCCCCACAGCAGACCCTCATCCCCACAGCAGACCCTCATCCCCACAGCAGACCCTCATCCCCACAGCAGACCCTCATCCCCCACAGCAGGCCCTCATCCCCCACAGCAGGCCCTCATCCCCACAGCAGGCCCTCATCCCCCACAGCAGACCCTCATCCCCCACAGCAGGCCCTCATCCCCACAGCAGGCCCTCATCCCCACAGCAGACCCTCATCCCCACAGCAGACCCTCATCCCCACAGCAGACCCTCATCCCCCACAGCAGGCCCTCATCCCCACAGCAGACCCTCATCCCCCACAGCAGGCCCTCATCCCCCACAGCAGGCCCTCATCCCCCACAGCAGACCCTCATCCCCCACAGCAGGCCCTCATCCCCCACAGCAGGCCCTCCTCATCCCCACAGCAGACCCTCATCCCCACAGCAGACCCTCATCCCCCACAGCAGGCCCTCATCCCCACAGCAGACCCTCATCCCCCACAGCAGGCCCTCATCCCCCACAGCAGGCCCTCATCCCCCACAGCAGACCCTCATCCCCCACAGCAGACCCTCATCCCCCACAGCAGGCCCTCATCCCCCACAGCAGGCCCTCCTCATCCCCACAGCAGACCCTCATCCCCACAGCAGACTCTCATCCCCCACAGCAGGCCCTCATCCCCACAGCAGACTCTCATCCCCCACAGCAGGCCCTTCTGACTACTGGCCAGGATGAGACTTAGCAGTGCCAGCTGTAGGGCTGTGGCCACAGCTGTGATTTTAGTGGTGGATTTGTGGCCTGTGCTGGGCCAGAGTCTTTCTCCAGGAATGTTCTGACTTGAGCTGGTGAAGAGTGTTTTTTCCCCATTCTTGGTCCATGGGACTTTTGGATGTGACTCTAGAGCTGCCTGTGGCCATGGTCCTGGTCATCTGGAGAAAGTTTATCTGTGTTCTCAGTTGCTGAAGCCAAGACATCAGTGCTGAGCTGAGATGCAGAGGAGCCCTGCAGATTGCAGTCAGCTTCATCTTTTCCTCAGCTTGTGAGTTACCCTAGTGCTTTTCCTGAGGCATTTTATTTTTCTCAAGCTCATTTAAGCACCATTTCCTTCCCTTGAGGGCAGTGTGCCCACTCCCCCAACTTTGATTCCACATCTTTTCCTTGGCACCAGTTACCTTCTGACGTGACATGTGATTCCCTTGAGTGTCTGGAATTTGGCTATATCACACAGCACAGAGAAAGGCTGGGGGGTTTAGTAACCAGTGAATGTTCAGTGATGGGTCTTCATCATTCTTTCCAACCCAAGTGTGGGGCACTGTCAGATTACTGTATATGTTATGATTCTAGTAGGCAACCTCTTTATTACATGAACTTTGGGTGGCCATTTGATAGAAAAGCAAAATATTTAAGATCTTTACTGACAAAGAATTATAAACTGAAATGTTTTATTATGTTGGTCAATTGTTTCTCTTACTACTTTTGTATTACTCCACTGTTCAGCCTATTAGTCTATACAATGGGCTAATAGTGTGAGCTAATACAAGATGTAGTTTTTTTTTTTTCTTGAGATGGAGTTTCGCTCTTGTTACCCAGGCTGGAGTGCAATGGCATGATCTTGGCTCACCACAACCTCTGCCTCCTGGGTTCAAGCAATTCTCCTGCCTCAGCCTCCCAAGTCGCTGGGATTACAGGCTGCGCCACCACGCCCAGCTGATTTTTGTATTTTTAGTAGAGACGGGGTTTCACCTTGTTGACCAGGATGGTCTCGATCTCTTGACCTCATGATCCACCCGCCTCGGCCTTCCAAAGTGCTGGGATTACAGGTGTGAGCCACTGCGCCCGGCCAAGACAAGATGTAGTTTTTATCTTTAAAAACATTTCTCAAACATTGACTTGAAACTTGTCCTTCAGAAGGTCCCGTAGAACAAAGATGTCAGCCTTTTCACAAAAGAGTGCTGGGACTGTTTTCTTTGATTAATCAAAGCTTACATGATAACTTTAATAAGAAATATAATTTAAATATTTGTTTTTGTTCACTGTTGTTATAATTGAGCGGTCAAATGGCCACTTCATATGTTAAGGGATGTCAGAAAATATTTGGCTTGCACATGTCCAGTCTGCCAAGCTGAATGTAATCTAAACTTTACGCTAGTCTGGTCAGGATACAATTGAAGGATACTGAGAAAGGGGAATGAGTGCACGTGAAGATGAATTTGGTGTGTGACGTGGTCAGCTTGATGTCATGGTAAAAAAAAAAATCCAAATGGAAATTTACAAGAAGTAGCTTTATACATTTTATTATTTATTTACTACTTGATCATAGCTTTTTAAAAAAATGTATTATACTTTAAGTTCTGGGGTACATGTGCAGATGATGCAGGTTTGTTACACTGGTGTACATGTGCCGTGGTGGTGGTTTGCTGCATCCATTGCTCTGTCATCTACATTAGGTATTTCTCCTGATGCTATCCCTCTCCAATCCCCCAACTCCCTGCTATTCCTCCTTAGCCTGCCACCCCCAGACCCTGGTGTGTGATGCTCCCCTCCCTGCATTCATGTGTTCCAATTGTTCAACACCCATTTATGAGTGAGAACATGTGGTGTTTGGTTTTCTGTTCTTGTGTCAGTTTGCTGAGAATGATGGTTTCCAGTTTCATCCATGTCCCTGAAAAGGACATGAACTCATTCTTTTTTATGGCTGCATAGTATTCCATGGTGTATATGTGCCACATTTTCTTTATCTAGTCTATCATTGATGGGCATTTGGGTTGGTACCAAGTCTTTGCTATTGTGAACAGTGCTGTAATAAACGTGTGTATGTATATCTTTAGAATGAAATGATTTATAACCCTTTGGGTATATACCCAGTAATGGATTGCTGGGTCAAATGGTATTTCTGTCTCTAGATTCTTGAGGAATTGCCACACTGTCTTCCACAATGGTTGAATTAATTTACACTCCCACTGACAGTGTAAAAGTGTTCCTATTTCTCCACATCCTCTCCAGATCTGTTATTTTCTGATTTTTTAATGATCACTATTCTAACGGGCATGAGTTGGTACCTCAGTGTGGTTTTGATTTGCATTTCTCTAATGACCAGTGATGATCTTTTTTTCATATGTTTATTGGCTGCATAAATGTTTTCTTTTGAAAAGTGTCTGTTCATATTCTTTGCCCATGTTTTGTTAGGGTTGTTTTTTTTGTTAGTTTGTTTACGTTCTCTGTAGATTCTTGTTATTAGCCCTTTGTCAGATGGGTAGATTGAGAAAATTCTTTCCCATTCTGTTGATTGCTGGTTCGCTCTATTGATAGTTTCTTTTGCTGTGCGGAAGCTCTTAAGTTTAGTTAGATCCCATTTGTCCAGTTTGGCTTTTGTTGCCATTGCTTTTGGTAATAAATGGTGTTGGGAAATCTGGCTAGCCAATGCGGAAAGCCGAAACTGGATCCATTCCTTACACTTTATACAAAAATCAACTCAAGATGTATTAAAGATTTAAACATGAGACCTAATACCATAGAAACTCGAGAAGAAAACCTAGGCAATACCATTCAGGATATAGGCACGGGCAAGGGCTTTTACATTTTTAAAAGAGGGACCAAAAACATTTCTTTGAGAATACAATGGTTGTTAGAGTTAGACCTCAAAGATCAGGAACAGAATGAAGAGAAACCTTTGACATCAGAAAATCATTGATGAGCTTTGGAAAGGTTCCCCATAGAGCACAGGATCGGGCACAAGGGAGGAGTGGGCAGAGAGAAGGAGGGCGGGCGGCTAGGGTGATGCAGCTTTGGCGGATTTGTTCCCGAAAGAGTTTTGCGTGTTTCTATTAAGGGTAATCAGATTCCAAGTTTCAGGATTTCAACCTAAAATGAAAAATAAGAACAAGAATTAACTCTTTTACTTCAGAGTACACTGTGCCTTTCTTAGCATTTTCTTGGGCTAGGTTCACTGTCCCCTGCAGTTCATCTTTAGACAGTGGCATTTATGGCATCAAAGCAGGTTACTAAAGTGTAACGCTTGCTCCATTCTTGTTTGTTTTACTGTAAGCC